TAAGAAATGTGATGAAACTCACAGACAATTTTTTTATATAAAAAGTAATGACTTGAAATGAAATCGGGATGAAGGTGTAATGAGGCAGGAGTAGGGCCACTATAGGAAGATATCCAAGCAGGAAGTCTTTTCCTCTTGGCACAGGACCTGGAAGGCATACTAGAAGCACACTGAAAGGAATTTCTTCCTGTGTAAGTGACACAATCCTTTCACCCATGAACACTTTTAAAATCAACTTACAGAAGGGCAAAATTAGGGTTAGATACTGGTAATCCATTTACATTCCTTAAATGGTATTGTTGTTTGTCTCAATTGAGAATAGTTTTCTATAATTCTGTGACAATAGAGTAAAAAGCTCCTTTATCCATACTACGTTTTTACAGCTTTTGTACACAGGTCTGTTATTACCACCCTATTAACTTACTGTCTTCTGCATTAAGCCAATTGTGAGGGGACAGGAGCATGTCACCTTCATGCACTTCCTCATGCATAACACCATGCTAAGTGTTTAATAAGAACTCAAGCAATGTTTATCACAGGTAATTGAATTGAAGGTTGTCACAGTAGGTGTGGAGGGGAAGGTATAAAACCTCCTCTCTTTTCATACTCTGAAGAAAATTCAGGATAGAGTTCTTACAGTTGATAAGCTTCATTTTCCCACTTGGAGCCAGAAATCTGTTAAGTCCAGTTAAGTTTACACAGATATACAGACCTGTCGCCAGATCAGACTGAAACGCTAAGGCTCTAGCCCTGTAGTACACAGCTTGAACAAACCAGTCTGAGTTTGCACCAGCCACTAGCTGCTACTTGTCCTTGTAAGACAGAAAAAATAGATATATGACCTATAGCTGTCGCAAATTACAGTGCTCATGCTACCCAGAATAGTACAAGCTGTTCTTTCTTTTCTCAACAGTGAGCCTAGATATGGAAAACCCATTATCACATCCTGGCTGTGCTTTCCCTTGCCTCCTCCATCCTTTCACTGCATCCCTACAGGAAGATCTCTAGGCCTATTTCTTCTTCTAAGTCAATCATGGAAAGGGACAGAAACTGCAACTGACAGGAGGTGACCTTACACACGTGAGCGGATTTCATCGTTAACATCTCCCCCTTCAAAGTTTCCATACCCAGCTTTCCTTGGCTGTTTCATCTATTACTCCTAATCATGGCCAATTGGCACTTAATTTATTAGTATTTATAAAGTGTTTAAGACTTTGTCTCTACACACAGTGGGTAAACAACAAATATCTTCTCTGCTTGACCTTCAGTGTGCTTGTTATTGATTTATGCAGGCAGAGCAGCCTAAGCCCACAGCAGGAAGCCATGACAGCCCACGGAGACGCCCTTGCTGCTGTTAGGGCTACGTAGGCAGTGACTTCACTTACTGACTCATTTGTTCATTCAGACACCATGTCCTAAGCGCCCCTTGTGGACAGAAGTCCCTATGTTGTCACTGTTCAACTCCCACCTCCATCTCCAGTGTGCTGGTTGGATGAGAACTCACAACTGGTGGGGATGGGGTTTGAGATCATTCTATATCACCTTAAAGGCTCTTATTCTTCAGGCACATCTCCACAAAGCTGATTACTTACAGACTAATCCTGTCGTCCTAAAAGGGGAAATTTCATCTATTCTAAGAAATGTAGCTCAAGCTATTGTTTTCCCTTCTGGGTCCTATTTAATCATTTAAAAAAGACTTTCTAGGGAGCTTAAAAATCCTAAAACAGTTTCAAAGATAAAGTATCTGTAACCATAAAACTCGTCTTTATAAGGCTTCTTTGCTCGTAGAAAATTTTTCTTACTGATCTCTTAAATTTCATGGAAAGTAGATACAAGAACGTTATGATCTGAGCAGTCTGGGCCCTCTCTCTCTGACATCTTTAGGCAAGATGGGCAAACATCTTGGGCAAGGCAGTGCAACTCCAAGGAGGGGCAATGGCACCCTCTAGTGGCTTACTTTTGTCAAGCTGCTGCTTGCATCTATTCCTGCTTGGCAAATTGAAAGACAATTTGTTCTTTTCCTAACTTCATTGCTGATAGACAGGAGCAACTTGACCTGAGCTTGAGGATTACTTCAACACTCTCCCTCTTGGAAAGAATCTCTTCTTTGGTCATTACATTCTTGCGTGCATAAAATACTGGCCTTTGCCTTAGAAGAACTGAAATTTTAATTCTGGTCTTAAGGAAGAACAATGGTTCCTATTTACTTTCTCTGAGCCTCACTATGAGGATGGTTGGGAGGTTGAAATAAGCAAATATGCTAAAATATAACATAAAGCATAGTCAGAGAAGGAGAAAACACATCAAATAAGCATTCAGGATAGGGCTTGCTCATCTATTTTTTTTCCTAGTCTAGGTATGAGAAGTGCAAATTTAATAGCTACATGCAATCCAAATGTACAAAGAAAATGAGAGGAATATAGTAATTCTTAACAAGTCATTTTGTCTTCTTTCTAAATTATGGAACAAAATGCTATACAGAGATATACAAAACTTATGCTCTGCATGTCAGAATCTTCTGTAAACATCTATCTGTGGTCAGCCGTATAACTCAGTTTCTGAGTTCTTTTAACTAAAGAGGTGGTGTTCATATTAACACATCTGATGAGGGGATAGATTCAAAATAGGCCAGCAGCAGAACTAAGTATATTGCTTGAATAGACCATTCTTCATATGATGGCCTCATTTTTTTTTAGGTAATTGGATTCAACCAAAAATAAGTATGTTGTCTTTGTTAAATCTGTACACAGAAATGCAAAGTGGGGATTTCTCCCCAGCCTCAGCTCTGGGGACTTCTGTGACAGCAGCTCCTCCGAGAGACAAGCTTTCCCCTTAAGCTGTGACAATATGTAGGGTGAGTTGTTTTTCTTCTTAAGCTGGGAACTGAATTGGGAGCTGAAAACATATCATACTATTTGTTTTCCCCAGTGGCACAGCAGACCTGATTCAATACCATCAAACATGTACAAAACTGCTTTCCACTACAAAAGCAGCCATAGTCATGTTATAAAGGAATCTAAACTCCAGTACCTGCAGTCCTTCTACTTCACTGTTACTTTTAGACAGTCTTGGTTCTACCACACAATATCTGTCTGGTTTTAAGCAAATTATTCAGTCAGAGTGTGAATGTTGCCATCACTAACAGAGCAATTATACCAACGTCATGCAGTTGTCATGATGATTTAACAACGTGATGCAAGTAAGGGATCTGCCAAAGAATCTGACATTTATGTGTGTTCTGTAGATGACACCTATTGTTGATTAATATTACTAAATCTTCTAAAACTAATAAAGACTTTAAAATGGTAAAAATTTAAAAAGTCAAAGCAAAACATTTTAGAATCTTATTATTTTTCAGATATGCTTTATGTAACATTTGACCACACTATCTCACAAAACCCAAATATCGCAGTGCCATTCAACTCATCACTGTGGGAAATAATACGATGGGAGGATTTGTACATGGCCATTGTGCAAGTCAAGCCATAAATGCATATGCTTCTCAGATACTCTCCAGGGCCTCATCTCAAACGCCGCGGTTATGAGCAGGGAGAGTCTGCCAGTGACCTCATAAAGCCATAGAGCCAGTCTGTGTCACAGTGTTCTGGGCCGGCTGGCTGGCTGCTCCTGGCCGGCTGGTCTCGTCTTTGTCCCAGCCTTGGAGCACCGCCAACTAAGGAGCGGGGAGCGGTGTCCCTTTCTTCACCACAGGGGGGCGCAAGAGAATAACTCGGAATATGGTTCATCATATGGCCTTGATTGCTTTAAAATCAAACTATGACTGGTTTGCCTTGAAATGCTGGCTTCATCCAGGCAATTTTCTAGAGCTAAAAAGAACATTTTTAAAAAATCTTTTCCCTTCAGGTTCACTTTAAACGTATTTTTAAAATATATTCTTATTAATGCACATTGATTTTTACAAACTATTGGGTTCCACCATGGCATTTTCACAAGTGTATATAGCATACATTGATCTTACCATCTCCCCAGAAGTCTCCCTTACACCTCTCCTCCCCTTTATTCTCTTCCTTTGTCTAATATTTTCTCCAAAAAAGATTTTTTAATCTATTTTTTAAAATCAGTTTTCTTCTTGCCTTGTAATTCCTGAAGCAAATAGTATGCTGAGTTTACTATCATTTATTGACAGAAATAGGCAAGAAGTTACGCATGGAGGCTTCCAGCTGAACACCATGCAGCCAGGTAACTATGCCAGCAGGTACAGTACACATTTAGAAAACCCTGCAGTTGGCTCCAGGTTCATAGCAAGTGAGGAGCAAAAGAGCCCAGGTCACAGAAATTACCAGGGAAGGACGGGACGAGAGGTCTGGCCGGAAGCCAGCAGGAACTAGGAAGGTGGCAGGCTCACAGACACGAGTGTGGCAGAGCAAGATCGTTGACGAACATCACCCGGGGGCCTGTGCCCTGTAGTTCTGATTGTCCTGACTGGTGACACTCAGGGGATGGCAGCAGTGTAAGATGAGGAAAGAAGGGCTTGGCCTCCAGAAATGGGCGGAAGAAACAGGCCTCCCAGACAACAGAGCAACAATGCTTTTGCTACCATCAAACTCCTGCTTTGCCTGCCTATTCTGCTCGATAAGTACATGCTTCTGGCGGTCATTCTGGCCCTCCACGACTTGACCACTCTTATTTCTTCTCTGATCTTGTCTCTGCTGTAGCCTCTCATCCCTCTGCTCTGCTCTTACCTTCCTTCATGTTGCATCTCTTGCTTCAGATCCCTCGTACTCAGGTTCTACCTGCACAGAATATTCTTTCTCTGCTGAAACTTTTGTCTCCTTCAGATCTTTTTTATGAGACTTTTTCAACCACTCTATTTAAATGGCAACTGCCTTATCCCTACTTTATTTATCTTCACAGCATCTAGGACCTTTTACTACATTATATATTTTGCTAATTTATTTTGCATATAGTATAATTATACCCTCCTGGTTGCCAGTTCCTCAAAGGTATTCATCCAGCTTAACACTGAGCACTCATTAGGCATACAGAGCATATTTGTTGTGTAAGAAATGAACTTTGTCTTGCTGTTCTCAGAACTATGTTCTTGATGGAGGTTGCTCCAGGGAGCCCTGAGTCCTGAGCACAAGAGAATCACACCTGTCTATCAAGGTAGAGACTCTAACTTCAGAGTGTCTGTGTGTTTAAGAGTCTGCAGTAGAGCCCTGCAGGTCTGTGGGGTAGTAACCTAGTTGACTTTGAGGAAGACATAAGATTGGGGGCCCCCCATAACAAAGTCCCTGCCATCAAGATTCATGAGAGTGTCAAAAAACATAAAGCCCAGAAGAGAGAGGCCAAACATGGAAGGCAAGACCAGTGTGAAATTGGGAAGTAAAACTAGTCAGGACCGATATTAACCAATGGCTACAGAGGAGAACATGATAAGCCATGGCTTGTCACGGCTTGGACCAGAGCTTTGCAGCTCACTAATCTGCTGTCTTCCCTCTACCATCTCCCGGAAGCAGTGAATTCATGTCTCAGCTTGGTCTTTATTAACCTAAATGCACACTCTCGTCCTGGCTTTGTTTACTAGGCACAAATAACATCTCAAAGTTTAGTAGGAAATCTGGGGCAGACAAGATGTAAAAAAGAATAAGGCATGCATCAGCCAATTTCCTCACCCAGATGCTCAAATGTAGGAATCTCAGAGACCAAGAACTTTGTGTTCATTTTATTTAACATAATGACAAGCACTTTTACATAGCAGAGAGCAGTGGACTCAGGAAGGTGCAAAATTTACCCTGCTCTTCCAGGACAAAGTCAGTAGCATTTTGGGGCCTCTCTGAAGATCTGTCTCTGACACTGTGTACAACTCTCGGAATCACATTTCCATATGACATCAGCACCAGCAGACCTGACCACTTCCTGCCTGGTTCCTCTCAGGCCCTGTCACCAGCTTGCATGAACTGTGTCATCGTGACCTCCAAGTCTGGATAGAAAAATAATGTGGTGTGGCCAGCAGCCAGGTATAAAGGAAAGAAGGAAGGCCCGCATCAGGCCAGCTTTGTGTGCTTTCTTTCCTGAGGGCTCTCTGAATGTGGACTCCGTCTGCAGATGGAGGTAGCTTTCGAGCAGTGGAGATCCACGTTCATCTCTAAGCCTCAGTGCTATGGGAACATGGAGAAGGGCCCTGAGACACTCATGCCAGAGAGTTTGGCCAGCGAGTCTTGATGTGGTCTCCCTCTGGATTTACTGTCTGGGGCCTGCTCCACTTTTCCCCTCTCAGCCTGCAGCTGCCAGCCCTGTTGAGTTTGCAAGATGTAGCAAAGATTTACTTAGCAAATATTTTCATTTCATAAACATTTTTTTAATCCTAATATGTTCCCAGACTTTTGACAGCATCTGTGTAATAACTCTTTAGGATATGTGTCTCCAAGGTTTGTCTGTATAGTCTTGCTCACGTCAGTGGGAACGCAAATATTACGAAGAAGGCCACCTAAGGGAGAATTAGTCACTGGTACCCTTGCTAAATTATGTTAAGGCTTCTCTTTTGGCTCTCCTGTTCCTGGAGCAATCTAGTGTATTCCACCTGCCCCTCAGGCCAACGACACAACTATGTTTTTTTTGTTGTTGTTGTTGTTGTCTTGTTTGGTTTTTTTGTACTAGGGATTGAACCAAGGGTCTTCATACTGAGTTACATTGCAAGCCCTTTGAAATTTTTTAAAATTTTTATTTTGAAACAGTGTATCACTAAGTTGCTAGGTTGCCCAGGCTGGGCTTGAACTTGTGATCCTTCTGCCTCAGCCTCCCACAGCGCAGATGTGCCACCATGCCCAGCTGCATGATATTCTTAAGGACTTACTCCTTTGCATGATCTTTTTTTATACTTAACCTCATCTGAGGTTACCACATCCTCACTCTTTGGTGGTCCACCTATTAATTGAAACTACTATTGATAATTGGTTAAAACACAACACTATTTAAAACTGAATTTAAAAAAAAACAACATTTTATACCCGCACTTAAAGGAATACTAGCTGTGGGGTGACTGGAACGGCCGAACAGCCTCACGAGAAGATGTGCCAGTCCAAGATATCCCCGAAACTCTCAAATCATACCATTCACTTACTAGAGTGATCACCTTCTGTGGGAAGAACTACGTCCTACAGCATGCAGATGTCACCTGCTTATCTCAGGGAAAGTTAGATGTCCCTTGATTTCACTGTGATCCAAAGTCTCTTCTGCAGGCTCAAAAACAGATACTATTTCTCAAACTTCCAGAGTTCCATGGAAAACTATTTAACATTGGAACATTCTGGTGCATCTAGTGATTATAAGATACACTGCTCTCTGCACTGTACGTTAGGGTACAGTGGATGCCATTAGGGTTCCTCCCAGAGACCCCCCTCAGTGTGTGCCCCTACATGTCTGTGTTTCTGTGTGCTGCACCTGCCACTTTCTTGGGAGGCCTGCCCTCAGGCCACTGGAGACTGTGTTGAAAGTACCTGGGAGTTTAAGTCCACTTAAGGCAGCCCTTAGCCAGTGACTAGGGTCAAGGGCCATGGAAATTGAGTTCAGATGCACCCTCTAGAATTCCTCTCTCGCGTGAGACTGAAGTTATCCTTAGGGGGATTTTGCCTAAATTATATAGTTGCTTGCCTTTCTCCTTCCCTGTCCTACAATCCCTACCTATTTACTAGTTTTTCCTAAGAGCATTTCTTCACGAATCACGGCACATGAATTCTTATTCCAGGGTCTCCTTCTAGGAGACTCTAAGACAGGGTACATGCAAACAAACAAGATACCAAACAAGAGATACACTTGTAACACAAACATCCCCAAATAATGGAAGTAACCTTGCTTCATTCTAAGGAAAAGTCTTTCTCAAATGTGTATTGTTTTCCACCAGAAGCCTCTCTGACCTGCGGTGAGAGTCTGCGTTCACTGACTCCCATACACGTATCTGGAGTCTCATTCCGGGGGCTCGAACAGCACCTACGGGTCTCCTGTCTGACCCAGAACTCTTGGAAGGCAGAAACCAGCTATTATCTGAATTTTAACTGAAATGACTTAATAAACCATGCATTGCTGGCTTATTCAAACTCTCAACATGCTGTGCATGGAGATACATGAAAGTCATTGGAATGAATGTCACAGTAGATACTCACAAGCCACACTGAGTACCATGTTAAATTTATTTTCTGATAAATATTTCTTGTGGGTCTATTTGCAATTCTTAGGAAACATAAAATGTCATAAGAAAATAATTCTGATGTCTGCTAGGAGGAGAACTTGGGAAGGACAACTGCAGTTAGTTTATAATTAATGCCTAACTCTGGCCATAAATGAATTGCTAGGAGAAGTCGTCATATCCTTATAATGTCACAACCTTAGGCCTGACTGCTGAGGGGATGTTTCTCGTTAAAAGAAATGGTGATTTTGTGATGGAGCAAATACTTTTACCAACCATAAACATTAGTGAAGGACTTCTGATTTGTTCTGATTTAGGGCCATTAAAAAGCTATAGAGGACCTTAACCACTCCTCACACAAGTTTTATTTATAAAGCCTCTCTGGACTTCTGAACAAGCAGCAAGATATCGATGGTTTAAGAGAGAAAAGCTTACAAGTGTCCTGAGGTCACACTTAACTGTGTTAGGGATTTGTACGAAAAGATAATTAGGTCCCAGCACAGACAGCACTGGGCAGAAATGGCAAACTGAGACAGGCTGTTTGTGTCTTGTTCATTAGTGAGGTTGAATGTTGAAAGAAGTGACACAAGCCAAGCTTTAATTGTTTCCTATTAGTGGATCATGAAGGACAAGTAGACTATGGCTGAGGAGCAACCAGATATGCTAGAATGGTCAATGAATTAACAAAAAAGAGTTGGCAAGTGATTAACTTATAATTTACTTCTTCTTTAGCTAAAGGATAATTTTCTTGTTAAATACAAGTATGAAGTAATCGGTCAAGTCATTACCCTACAAAAGAGACACGGAACTCATTCAATAACCACCTAGTGAATGAATAGACTGTGTCGTTTGTTTTGTTTTGTTTTTCAAACAGAAATTTGGTATATCCTCCTCAAGAAATAAAGCCAAGCCACAAGTCACAGCTTCCATAATAAAAGCTAACAATTAACACAGTTTAGTCCACACTTCATCCTCTACTTTGAGAATTGTGAAGAACTTCTCAAGCATTGGTCGCACAGCTTTCTAGGATAGAGTAAGTTTTGTAGGACCATTGTGCATTTATTACTTTACAGACCATTGTGTCTGTTGCATATAAATAAATTGCTCGTATTCTGTTTCAAATACTACTACTGGAAATAGCATCCAGAACACTGCAATAAATACTTCAAATAAGTTTTATGAACATGATCTAATATGGTCCCTGGTCTAAACAAATTTTGATGCCATAAGAAAAAGACACAACATTGTTATGACCAAAAGTAATAAAGTGCTTTGAAAATTTTTCAAAATATTGTTCAAATGTGATTCATCTTTTTAAAAAATGGCAAGTATGTGGCAGAAAGGCCAACTGCCCACATCCAAGGAAAGCATCATAACTGTTTCTATTGCATTTTCCTCTACAGAGTCCTACAGGGCTTCAGCATTTTTCTTAGCTTAATATTCCAGATGTTATGTACCAATTGATCCGAGAAACATGGGTTAAAAGCAAGATGTCATTAGATTTTATGAGGTTTAAAATGGAGCAGTTTAACACGGGGTGGAAAAAGGAAATTTTGGAGCTACTCTGCTCTGAATCTAAAATGTATTAATTCATGTCATCCTCACAAAAGCTCATTGCAGGAGGTGACATCAGTTTTTCCTCGGTAGAACTGGGATAATGAGGTCCAGAGAGGTTAAGAAACTGGGTAAAGAATATACAACCAGTAGTTGTTACAGCTGATCCAAGCCCATGAGTTCTGGCTCCATATCCTGTACTCTGAGCATCAGGATAAGACGAACTCAAAAGTGGGAGATAATGTATACAGATTAGAAAAAAGATAAAATCATTGAAATGAAAAAAATGAAATGAAAAGACAAGTGAGAACAAAAAGAAATACATATTTCTAATTTTTCTAGTATAATAGCTGTTCTTCAAAAGTGTGTTGATCATATACACAAATATGTATACAGGCGGTGTGATGGAAACATG